CTTTCTAGAAGTTTAGAGTGTTTGACACTATCAACAGCTTTTGAAAGGTCCATGAATATACCTGTTGTACACTTACTGTGGTCAACTGAGTTGATCACGGTTTCAACAAAAGATACAGCTGCACTGACAACAGATCTCCCCCTTCGGAAGCCATGTTGATTTTCATCCAGCATTTTAAAACTCCCCAAATATTCATAAAATTGTAGATACACAGCTTTTTCATATATTTTGGAAATGGACGGAAGTATAGACAACGGTCGATAATTTGATACATTTGATGTATCGTTCTTTTTATGTAATGGAATTAATTTTGCTTGCTTTAAATTTTCTGGGAATATTCCTGATACAAATGAAGAATTTATCAAATGGCACAGAATTTTATTAATGTTATTTTTAACACCCTTAATCACTGTGACTGGGATTTCGTCATGGCCACAAGAATACTTGTTTTTTAACGAATTTATGATTCCTTCCACCTCCCTCTCACTTATTGGTTTAAGTTCAAATTTTTGCTTAATGTACAAGTCATCGCTAAAACTATATGTGGGTACATCACAATTCACAGAATTATTATTACCAGTCAGATCAGTTATAATATTACTGAAATGCTCATTGAACATGTTTGCAATTATATTTGGATCAGACACAATACCAGAATCTTGCTTTAAAGTTATATTTTGTGATTGCCTCTCATTTTGACCAACTTCAGAGTTAATTATAGACCAAACTGTTCTTTGAATATTAGTGGAATTTTTAATCTTTTTCTGAAAATAATTATGCTTGATTTAGTTCAGTTTTATATAATTTTTTTTCTTTGTCTAGATAACATTTTAAGCCCCTACTCTTTTTACTCCGATACTCCTTAGTTGTTTCTATTATCTGCTTTTGTTTATCCTTCAGCTCTTTAGATATCCAGGTACATTTCTTCTTTCTTTTTGTAACCAGTAATTTTGGAAAAGCCTGATCAAAATAGAAGGCAAATAATTAGTAGAATACATCATATTTATTTTCAACCTTTACACATCAGCCCATGTTTCCTGGGAAAGTAGCTTTAAAAAAGATTTATATTTTCTAATGAGAATTTACGTATTTCTTGTTTTATTGGTAAATTTAAATTTTTTATCTAATTTTGACATTTTATTTTTAGTAACTGGCCATCGTGATCAGATAAAAAAGTAATCAGACCCTCTACAAAAAGATATTGTGTAAACTGATTTACTATAAAACTCTAAAATAGTATTTGACACACACATTGTTTACGGTATAATTACTAAGGACTGTACAAATTGCATATCATGTCATACAGTAGCATAGATAGACCTACAGCACAGCAAAAGATTGAAACCTAAAAATAACTGAATTTTGATAACTAATAAATTAAAAGAACTAAAAATCCATAAGCTCAAGTCAAGATATTGTTTATATCACAATTAATTAGGTGCCCTAAAAGGAACTTTTAACTAATTAATATATAGAAGATTATATTAAATCGATAGAAAAGAAAATTAAATGCCAACTTGGCAACATAATGCAGATACACTAGTGCCCTAATTAGCAACACAGGTCAATGTTTCTAAACTGTAAGTCAATGTTTTTGAAACTGTAAGGGCCTTTTTCTTGGAAGGAAGGGTAGCAGGATGTAAACAAACCATAAATCACTCTCACCAGCGAGGCAGGGGGCACTCAAGGTCATAGACCCTCCCCCTCCCATCTTGCACCACCATTTGCTCCAATTGCTAACAAAATTGTGTAACAAAACAAGGAAGTAGTGGACAAAAATATATATTTCTTTATTAAAAAACATGACTGTTATAAATAAATGTTATAGATAATAATGTTACAGATTATTTTCAAAGAAAGTAATTCATGGTAGTTTGTGTCTTGTAAACTTTTTTTTAGAAAAAAGCCATTTCACAATTGTAAAATACGAAAATACTGACTAGAGTTACAGATTAAATTTAACAGCTATTATACAAACTATTATTTTTATGATAAACTAGAATTTGGATATCAAAACAATTACTACCTAGTAATAAATGAAAGTGATAAAATATTAATGAATTTGGGACTGCTGATGGCTTTTTTATTGCATCACTACCCTAGTAATAAATTATGAAGATCTTAAACAAACATCTGATAAGCCTTTTATGTGCTCGGAAAACTGCCTGAAAGTAGTTGATTATTAAAATAGGTTGTAAACTGAAAGTAGTTTATTATTAAAATAGGTTTTATTTGGCAAATTCTGTATGATTTTTATAATTTCCTTAATTTTCACTTCTCTGAAATTAAAATTTAACCTATCTGGAACTAATACTTTTTTACAGCATTCCACTGCTCTTTCTGGCAAACTTTGAATATTTAATTTTTGTTTGATGTTAATATAGTTCTGATTAAAATAGTTTAGAATAACTTTGGGGTTATTGATAATGGTTCCATCAACTAATACTTCAGTACACAGATATTTAAATGCTGACTTTCTACATAAGACAACACCATCCATTGTATAAGGAAAGTTTACAATAGTTTGGCTAGTTTTCCTTGTTTAAGTCATAATAGCACATTTTTTAACATTAAATAATATATCATCTTTACTCCAAGCAATTAGTTCATCAATATAAGTTTGTAGCTGTTGAGAATCAAAGATTGTGTCAATATTTAAAAAAAATTTAAAATCGTCAGCCTACATTAAAATTTTACTATGTTTTACACATCTGGTTATGAATATTGACTGCTAAATGTTCTAATTAATCTAATATCCCTGTTTATGTTTATGTTGGTGTTAGGGGTTTAATTTATTTTAATGTTGGTTGTAAAAAAAAGTTGTATTCAAGTTAATAATATTCAGATAAATATTTATGTTATGTCAGTGTCAGGAGTAGATCTCTTTCGGTTTTGATTGCATACTTAACATTTTATTATTACCTATATTTTTTGTAACCTTGACCTATTTAACCAGCTAAGTAAAAAAGATTCGCGTTTAGGTTTTGAGATTCGAGATTTGATTTTTAAAAGTTTCGGTTTCGGTTTTGAGATTCAAAATTTCTGATTTTGACCATCAATAACCTCTATGGTTAGGCAATGTCACAGTATAGTGTATATTACGACATCAATAAACCTTTATGGTTAAAGCAATGTCACAGCATATGCCTTATAATTCTATTTAAAAAAATCATTTTATTTTTATTTTTGAATTTTGTTAATCGAATCTCGAATCCGAATCTTTTCTTAAAATTTGGTGGATTCGAGATTCAAATTCGACACATCCCTATCGCAATTATTTCATGTTTAAGTTCAATGTTCTTGTTATTTGACGCAGGTTACAAAAATTACGTTATTTATTGTACACTTGAAGGTTTTTGAAATTCAAAAATTTTACCAACTATGCATTGAGCCCAGTAGGCGACTCATGGCCAAAACCCAGAGCGGCCGAGCGTAACAGTCCTAATCCCTCAGCCGCCTCGAATATTTCCGCGGAGTAGAGATTAGTTCTTACTTGTAATTCAAAATGAGTGATTGACGGCATCTTTGTCACCACATTTCTTGCCAGTATTTATTGATGCATACCGCTATCATCCTTGTTTGTGGAGAGTAAAGACTAAGGAATATGAAAAAATAAAAAAAAAACCCCTCCGAGTGTCCCTTGTTTTGGCCTTAATGTCTGCCTATGTTTTGCTCATTTGCAAGGTTTTATTAAAACGGATCTGAGAAACTTGAAAACAATGTTAATTATACTGTTCTATATACCATTTTGTTTGAAAAATCATGGGCTTCAATATTATACATAGAACATAAGGAACATTTGTTTCAAAAAAATTTTTTAGGTAAAAAAAAATATTTTGGAAAATAAAAATTTTGTTCTAAATTTTATGAGGATTACAAATATATAATAATATAAGGAAGTAGATTTGCAAATAAATAAGTTATGGGCAAAAAACTGATTTCAGTACATACCGGTAACGTTTAGCTAAGAATGCATAGCCTAACCATAGCTAGGAATCTGGCTGATAATTTACATCAATATCACTACTTACACACTATATACACCTACTTCTTCAGGATCATCAACCAGCCCTTCAAAATCACTTAAATCTTCTTATAATGCACCACGTATATCACTACTTTTGATTTTTAACACTAAAACAATGATAAACGTAATAAAACACATCAGTCATCGGTCCGAGGTTAACAAAGCTGTTTACAAATACGCACGTCAGCTGTCTGCTACAATATTTTCGGAACTAAAATGAATAGCGCTTAGAGACAGACCTCCGGAGAAAGCTCTGAATCTCTCAAATAAAACGATACCTAACTCGATCCAGTTCAATCCGATTTTGTCAGTCATAGAGCCTTCGCCGTAAACAGTGTTTGTGAGTCGCTGCAGCGACACAAAACACTCGGAGGGTTAAAACAAAGTGCCAACCAACACCTCAACCTTTGGTCCATGTTAACCTCCTCTTGCGGGTTTTCTTCTTTTCTTCATGAATCACACTTATCGCTATAAGTGGCAGAGCTTGCTTTAACTTGTTTAATAGCAAAACACTATCAAAATAAAAGCACAGGCACTGATTATTGTGGAAAAAGCATGTCGCAAGCTACACTGAAGCTCAAGTGTGTGGGCAACAACGTGCTAAGTCAGAGAACAACGTGCTAAGTCAGAGCACAGCGTGCCAATGCCAGCCAATATAAAAAATGGCACAGAGTAGTATTGTAGTATTGTATAGTAGTATTGTAAAAAGCACGTGTAGTGTTTGTTTGGGCCGCTTTAGGAATTAACTCATAAGTACTTACGTTAATTTATCATATTTTTATCAAAAAATCCTCAAGAATTAGAATTAGAATTTTCTATTTTTACTAAAAAATTAAGTTAAGAGACATTGTTGCAGTTGTAAGAAAATAGGCTATAACAAATAAATACACATAAGAAAATGAGCCGCAATTACAGAACTGAAATATTTAGATACCCAGAATAGATATGTATATTGCCTTCATGGCAAACTTACTTGATAAAAACATTGTGGACTTCCTGATAAGTTATGTCTTTCTTTAAATTTCCAACAAACAAAGAACTGCATCCGATTGGGTTTTTAGGGCTGTAACACAAAACAAATTAATAACAGTGTGGTACAAATACTACAGTAAAAAAAAAACTATGCTATTTTACATTAACAGTAGAACCTCAAATATCTGGGGTCTAGGCAACTGGGCGGTGGAACAACCGTGCCCTCTAAAATTACGTTACATAACCATAGTAGGCTATTTCAAGAAAAATTCAAAGAATATTTTTAATGTTTTACTTCTTAATTGTAGTGTGTAAAATAATTGAGAAAAAATTACTGGCTAATAAATTACATGCCTACAAGATCAGGCAAATACAATTGTTGATATTAATTAACATTGGGGAAAACACAGAGACGACAAAAGAATAAACCATGGTTTAGTAGCAGCTGTGAAGATTTAATGCTATCATACAACTCAGGAAAGTAAAGAAGAAATCCCTTTTGAGTAGTTAACAGCAATGAAGAAAGAGAACAACTTTACAGAACTTAATAAACAGATAGAAAAACAAATTGAGCAAAAAAAACCATTAGGCCTATTACTATATTTATAAATATTTATTTTATTTATTTCTCACCCTACATTTAAATAATATCCAGCCTTGTCTAACCCTCAACTGCCTTTCCAGTTATTGCACAAATCTCAACATGAGTACCTAACTTATTTAGCATTTCTGTGTTTTCATTAAATTAATTACTTTCAAAATTATCTTTGTCATAAGGTATTGAATAGTATTGAATGATAGTAGTAAATGAGTTTATTACTTTTCCAATACTAATTTAGCTGATATGTTACAGTAAACCTTCAATAGTTCGACACTCCTTGTAGTTCGACACAGACTGAGGCTACCTGTCTAAACATTAGCGATTAATGTTTTGTTTTGACACGTGCGCCGGTTAATGACCAGGACCAGTTCTTTCCAGTTATAAGAGTGAAAAACAATCGAAGATCACAAAATATTTTTTCAAGTGATATTTAATGGTTACTATTGTGTGATGTAAGTTGACTTGAACATTAATTTGTCATTTATTGTTGACTTGAGACTAATGAACAGTGAAATTGTTAAGCTTTTTGTATTTAATAAATTTGGGTGATTTCGATATAAAACTTGTATTTTTACTTTCCTGTATATTAAACTCCATTTACTCCCTATAATTCGACATTTCGATAGTTCGACACCTCCTAATTCCACAAAGTGTCGGACTATCGAGGTTCTACTGTAATTGGTTTTGCTCCTCCAATTATTCAACATTATTTATGTTGGAACCACGGAGTCAAGGAGTTGTGATGTTCTATAGTTAACCCTCCAACTGGCAATGGGCGAACTCTGTAGTAGCAAGGCATTTTAGGCGATTTTGCAGTCATATTTTCAAAAATTCATATAAACTAAACCAACAGAGCAAACCTATTGAACCGTATAGGCCTACTTGAATTGTTCGTAATGAAATGAAGAATTTGAAAATGGCAACAGAATAAATATTAAGGCAGTAAGTATTGTACATATGTAGAATTAGTAGAAATATAGAATATAGGTAGTACATTATGTAGAAATAATATAAATTTTTTTTATTTTGAAATTTTAAAAGTAAAACTTTGATTTGAAGATTTCAATCACCATTTTGTTTTAGAAAGGTATGACCTAAACACAAAAAATGGCAAATTTCACAATTTTGCACTAAAAATTTCTAACAAAAACCAAATAAATGTTTTCTCAAGAAATGTAGTAAAGTACACATTTTTGTAAAGGCAATAAATAACATTGGAGATCAAAAGAAGTAAGATTTCTTAATGGAAGATCATCATTACTATTTAAATCTTTATGGAAGATAAGATTTAAGAGAACTCGTTCCTCACGCACAGGCTTTACCTATGTGGGGACCATCCATTATTTTTTAGCATTATTGTAATTTTTTGAAACAATTTTTATTTTCATGGAATAAATTAGTCTATATTTGATTTTTAATTTTTTTAATTTTTGATATGGCTTTTAATACCTTAATACTTTTTTAGAAAAACGTTTTGTTAAACACATACCCAAATACCAATTATATCAATAAAAGTAAACTTATTCCCCTACATAAAAATATATAGTTATAAAGGCAAATATAATGAAATAAATGTTTTATAGTGTCTTATATAAAATTCTGCTGCGCCTTTTTCATGAGGCGATCAAATTGTTTATTCACTATGACAAAATATTTCAAAAACAGGCTAAATGTAATGTCCCAAACTTCAAATTTAGTAAAAAGTCCATACACAAGAAAAAGTTTACAAACTAAATACAAATTTACATTTAATAAATATGATTCAAAGTGATGAAGTCACAGCCACACCCATGACATTCGTTGTTGGTAAACAGGCAATAATGTTCACAAAAACCGGGAAAAAAAGAGTGTCTCAAGTTTCTAAAAGTAATGTCACATTTCAGTCAAGGCACAAAAATATTATCCAAACAAAACATTTACAAATTTACAGCTTATAATCACGATGTAAACTGATAAAGTAAAATCACACCAAAACTCAACTTGTTAGTAGATGGTCAATAGAGATGGAGGTCAGACAAATAGTCAAGAAAAATAACGGCTGATAACTTCAGCACCAGTTGTGCAATCTAAAACAATTAAATACCACAAAGCACAGAATTTCATGGACTTTCTAATGAGATATTTTATCATATGAATAATTACATATTTCAGTGAATAAAACGGTTTTTTAACGTGTTTTTACGACTGTGTCTATTATAGTCGCTCTGCCACTTCACGAGCATGTAAAAATTGATTGATATGTTTTTAGCGAATTTCCCATATAGGGAATAAGCTACAGTAGACTCTTGATAATTCGAAATTGGTGGGCCAAGCATTTAAATTTGAATTATCAAGAGTTTTGAATTATCAAGAGTTCGATTTATCGGGAGAAAAATAAACCATTCGAATTACAGAGAGTTCATTTTTTAATACATACAAAGGTACAGCACGTTACAATAAAACATCATACTGTACCGTATTTTAGTACACTTTTAAACAATCAACGGCTTATTTTTCAGTTACTTTAGTTGCAAAGAAGTCTGTTATTTAGCGCTATATATTTCGCCAATAGCTGAACTATCAGCTGTCGACAACTACGTTTGTGCTCAAGGAGATGTCGCGCAATCTAGAGATGGGATTGCCAACTTAGAAAAACAAGTCAGTGAACTAACTCAGACTACTGCTCTAACTAAACAAACATCAAAAAGTCCAACAGTAGCCTACCAAAGAAACAGGATGTACTGTACTGTATAGTTTCCTGTTATAACAGGAAGAGATCACTTCGAATTATAGAGTGTTTTGCCGACTAAACTTCGAATTACTGCGTGACTTTAATTTATAGAGTGTTTTTTCGACGAAACTTCGAATTACAGCATGACTTCGAATTATAGAGTGTTAACTGACGAAACTTCGAATTACTGAGTTACTTAGAATTATAGAGTGTTTTTCCGACGAAACTTCGAATTGCTGCGTGTTACAAATTGACCTGCCCTCTATTTAGACTTTGAAATACCGAGTGTATCAAAATTAGGGGTCTGCGGGTCAGACTTTTTTGGTTCGGGTCGGGTCGGGTCGGGCCAATAATTTTGGTCCTTGGGTTTCGGGCCAAAATCGGGTCGGGCCAAAAATTATTAATTACCGGATTTTTTTTCTTTTTTTAACTCCTATCTGTGTTTATAATATTACTTGAAAATAACATATGGAAAAAGATTGTATTTATGTATATTATTTCATGTTCATAACTTATATACAGCTAACTTAAGATTAGGAGTTGCCTCAACTGCAAGAAAGAAGAAAATAATTTTTTTTATCAAGCCATTCTTTCCCATTTTCATAACTGTTGAAATATCTAAACAGCTATATTACAACAAGTTTGTAATGGAACTTAATATAAATGGATCATAATCAAATCAATTAACCTTATCACAAGTTTAGGGCCTGTGGCTTCAAGACTGCAAGCAAGAAGAAAATAAAAATTCTATGTTTCCACCATGCAATATGAATCATTCATTCCCTGCCTCCTAACCTCCTCTCACACTTACAATAGCATTATTAGTTACATCATCATAAATAAAGAATTATCTATTATTGGCATTAGTATGCCTACAGCTTTATATAGGAATTATTTTTTATAGGGCCTAAAATAGTAATAGACTAAGCAACATAACAAGTGGAGAACTCATTGAAGAAAAGATATTGTGTAAACTAATTTACTATAAAACTCTAAAACAATAAATAACACACATTATTAAGGAAATTGACAGGAAAGCAGGCTTACCTTTAAATAAGTCCATAGAGACACATAAAACATCACAAAATTAAAAGTAGAAATTTTCGTGGTCACTAACCACTTTTTCAACCACTGGAGATTGGAAGCCTGCTTTCCTGTCAATTTCCTTAATAATTCCTGGCAAATGCCCTATCTTTTTATAAAATAACACACATACATTGTTTATGGTATAGTTATAGTAAAGACTGTAAAAATTGCATATCATGTCATACACAGTTATAGATACACAGTTATAGGCACAGTTATAGGTATTGCAAGAGATTAAAATCCTAAAACAACTGATTTTAGCTAATAAATGAAAAGAATTAAAAATCCATAAACTCAAGTCAAACAATATCACAATTATTAGGTACCCGAAAAGGAACTCCTAATATATAGAAAATTATATTAAATCAAGAGAAAAGAAAGTTAAATGCTAATTTGGCAACATAAGTAGACAGCAGAGACATTATAGTGCCCTAATTAGCAACACAACTCAATGTTTTTATACTGTAAGTCAATGTTTTTGAAACTGTAGGGTCTTTTTCTCGGAAGGAAGGGTAGTAGAATGTAAACAAAAAACCATGAATCACTCTCACAGCCGGGCCCCGGGACACTCAAGGTTACAGACCCTCCCCCTCCCCTCCCCTCCCATCTTACACAACCCGAGCCAGGCCCGGGGACACTCAAGGTCATAGACCCTCCCCCTCCCCCGCCCCTATTACACCACCCGGTTGTTCCA